AGTTAGTATGTTTATCGAAGTTATAACTTCTATAAACATACTTCATCGAAGTTATAACGTCAGATAAATCTGTTAAAAAGAAAACCGAAATATCCTCGTCAATTACAACTACTAACTTACATCGGCTCCGAGTACATGTTCTCCCACAACAATAACAACGGTTATTGATAATACAAAAAATTAATTGAAAAAACATACGGCGCCATTAATGTTGGTAGTCAACAAACGCTGATAGTTAAAAAGATTAGTTCATTAGCAGGCATTGGCGGGCCGCCAGCAAGGTAATTCAATTGCCCCTGGAAAAAAATATCCTGTGAAGAATTATATTTCGAATTAAACTTATATATTTTTAGCTTTTTTATAGTTTATGTATGCACTATTCTAAAAATTTATTATCCCCCCTAAAAAATCTTTCCCGGCCTGCTAATGTTAGCAGGAGATTCTCACAGTCAAAGGAGATGATGAAGGAGGAGCCAACATTTTGTTCAAGACAGTTTCAAAATTTATGTTTCAATTTTATAATTAGCTTTATAGACATGATCTATACATGCCCAAACAAAAACGATCCAATTTTTGGGGTTATTTATCTGGATAAATAACCCCAAAAATTGGATCGTTTTTACTTGGGTGATTAATACACAGTTTACGAACAATTATGTACTCTATTTTGATTGTCAGTTTGTACTTTTATTCCAAATTATGGCACATGAATATTAGCGCTGATCAGAGGCGGACAAGTCAGGAGTTTTGCAAGGCACAAGTCAAGTCAAGTGGAGGTCGGAAACATTTTTCTCCCAAGTCAAGTCAAGTCTGGTTAAAATTAGGCAGACGCGCATCCTTTGGGGTACGAGAATTTTTATAGTCTTAGAAACTCTCTTTCATGGTAGAAAAAGTCTAATTTAAACGAGAATCTCTTACTAGAAATGACTTGACTTGAAAAAAATTTCTCAAGTCAAGTCAAGTCATACCCTCAGAAAATTTTGGATCAAGTCAAACCCCAAAAAATGTTGGACCAAGTTAGGTCCAGTCTGACTTGACTTGCCCAGCTCGGGCGCTGATTTTTTCTACTGCTGAACTTTCCGTTTTCTGAACGTAATTTTGATGATGTCATTCAAATAATCAATTAATTACCGTTTAGCTTAATCAAAATAACTTCGATAACCCATCTTATCGAAGTTATAATTTCGATAAACATGCTAGCTTCAACACGACATATATATGCAGATGATTTTCAGATCGAGCTTCTCAAGAAGTATCTATCAGTCGACAATCAGCTCGGTCTGAAAAGCTCAATAGCTATGCAGGGCTCAGTCAGCCTTTATTATAATGTGTTTTCTGGTTCAGAGATGAAAATGATGATCAGTTCATTCAGCTTTGAATCTGATGTCGGAATCAGGACTGAATTTTCTGAAAAAGACAAGTTTTGAAATTAAAGAGAGCTGATTCCACTCAAATTCTTCAGTTCTGAACAGAGATGGGCGAGTCACCACTTTTTCGGGTCTGAGTCGAGTCCGAGTCAGTAACCTTCGAGTCGAGGATCGAGTCCGAGTCGCATCAAAAATTGACTCGAGTCACCTCAAGTCATTTTCTAGATAAAAACTTCCTTCTGATTCATTTTTCCAAGAACAGGTCTTCAACCCTCTCATGTGACACAATGTTCTACTTAGAATATTCTCAAATCTCTTCCTCTTCTGGTATATAACAAATATAATAAACACCGTCACAACAATCCCGAGTGTCACAGTCGAGTCTGAGTTCGAGCCCGAGTCATAGAAAAATACGACTCGAGTCAAAACATGACTCGGACTTGCCCATCTCTGGCTCTGAATCAGCTGTTAGAAGAAAAATATTCATTTAAATAGGAAAGATTTCTAAAATCTAAGAAAAATGTAGAATAGTACAAAAATTAGATAAATTTGACTATTATAAATACTTAACGCTTTACGGCCGGGTGTTAACTACCGGTAACATCGATCTATTAAGTGTCGAAGGAATTTCGCTCTAAAAGAATACACTTTGCCGTTCCCTGTCACAGCAAAACAATAAATATAAAGGGAAGAATATTTTTATTAGTTAATTTTTGGCAGCCGACAGAAAAGGAATAAAGAATCTTATAAGATTCTGATAAGAATTCGGTGTGGTAGATTATGTAATTATTTTATAAGAATCCATAACATTTTGATAAGTCTTTTATTTCCATCAATTAAAGGGTTTGACTATATGCAAACTAAATGGATAATCCTGCATCATATAGGATCCTACGAAACACAGGAAATCGTTTAGGAACCTATTAAATGCTATGAAGTCGTATATAGAATTACTAGAATTTTGTCGGAATTATACTGGTAGAGATTTATATTTTGCTAGAAACAACTCATTAAAATGTTTTTCGAAGATACATTTTCTGTTGCGACCAATCAAGAAATTCGTTTCTTTGACCATAGGTTATTGAATGATGAGTCATGTTAGTAACTGTACATGTCTTTTATGATTGCTTCTAGTGCTTTATTAAGACAGGTATGAAAAGAGTTTTGATGCATATTAGTAGTATTCGAGCTGCTCTATTTTCTACGGGTTAGAGAGTTCGAATTGAATCCGATCTTCATCGGAAAAAAGGATCTCAAGTAGAGCATTTTTCGAGAGGTCGGTTTGAAAGTGCGGGATTTATGCAAATGAGCAATATGTTGTGCCCTATATTCTCGTTTCTCATACTCTTATCTTTCGAACTTCATTTTCTTCCTATAATCATGATTACAGATGTAAGCTGATCGGATGAGCCGCGCCGAATCCGAAATGTTGAGGCGCCGTCGCCGATGGTGGCAAAAGGCTCGATGGATCCAGCCGTTTATTTTTTCTCTCTTTTGTTTTCTATTGGAAGGAGTACTGGTAACATTTTTTTACTAACCTTTTTGGGGTTATTGTGTGCGTCTTGGTTCTACGTGTTTTTTCCTCAGTGTCACTTATTTTGAAATTAGATACAGTTCGCGGTGACTGAATATAATGAGATAAAAGTGTTTTTATAATTTGTGCACTATTTCTCGTTTTAAAAGATCACCCAGCCGAAGGCGGCGAAAAATTTCGAGGAATACGCCGCCGTTTTTTCATCGGCTTACAGCTCTAGTCATGATAGATTTGGGTAAGTAACTTCGGTCTGGTCTACAAGCAGTAGACAATGAGGACGAGTCTTGAGACTGTCCACGTGGGGCTATGGTCTTATTATAGAAAAATTAAATAAGTGGAAAGGCTATGTTCACACTACGACTTAAGCAGCTTAATTTTTTCGCCTTAAGGATTCTGATTGGTGTCTTAACTTTTTCTTCGTAAAGGCATCAATCAGAATCCTTAAGGCGAAAAAATTAAGCTGCTTAAGTCGTAGTGTGAACATAGCCAAAGAAAATTATTTTATTCACGTATGAAGCAATAGATTATAGTAAGAAAGTAGACAGTAAAGAATGTGATGAAATTGTACTATATCCTTCCTATACGATTCTGATAAGAATCTTATAAAAATTTCATCAGTTTCTTATATAAGATACTTATCAATATCTTACGCATTTCCAGCGACGGTCTTACTAAGAAATTCATAGGATTCTTGCAGATATTCTATAAGATTCCTATAGGAATGTTATATAAGATTTGACTCTAGAGAGGGTAGTGTCATAGCAAAGACCCTAAGAGCATTTCTACCCATATTGCTTCTTTCAAAAGTTGTGAAATTTTTTCGTTTGCCTGAAGAAATTTTCAAAGACATTCAGTTAGCTGTCGTATATCCGCAGCATCCGAAGTACCAGCATCAGTTTATGCAATTAGTTAAAAGGTTTAAGATCGGTTACGGTGAACATCCTTCGCTATCTTTTATATGAAGCACGTTGATAGTAGCGATTTATAGTCATTCTAGTTCATACATTTAGATTCTGATTGGTCATTTATCTTGGTCTGATTGCAAAAGAATCCATGTGGATCATGCTCCATTACGTCGTCATGCAGACAAAAAAAAGCACTATTTGGCGGGGCAAAAAATTAATTTCAATGACTATAAGGTTTTTTGTACGATTTTGATGTAAGTTATCTTGACCGCGTCATTATAACTTGTCCTGATACATTCATCACCGTTTTTATTTGAAATTCTCAAGCACATAATGGCAGCTCTCAACCAATCAGGATTCTGAACAATAAGTATATATATATATATATATAGAGCAAGAAAGAAAGAAGGAAGCTGGTGGAAGGAAAGTCAGAAGTATGATTCCTCAATAACAGATATTTGTGCGACAAAAAAGGTTCAAGAGAATGTTGTCAATATAATTTCTTTGATCGACCAGACAGAAGAGCATAAATCAATGCTTCCTCCATTCTGGATGGAGGGCTTGTGATTAAAATGAAACACGTGGGGAAGAACGCGCGTAAAACGGTTTCTTTCCTGACTTTAGTGTATTCACTTTTTTACTTTTATTAAAAAGTTAAAATGTTTCGAAATGAAATCCCCTCCAATCATTGGTTTAGTCTAGAAAATCTTGAATATGTTACGGTTTGCAACATATTAGGACATGACATTAGTCGGTTTTGAAGAATCAGGCCATCTCCACATATTGCTTGTTTTTAATTCTCCTGATTCTTTCTTTGACAATTAACAATATAGACGTCAGATGTCTCCAGCTCGAGACTGGTAGCACTCGTTTGTTTATTGCAGATGCCCATAAGTTTTGATTTCGTAGGTTTCCTACCCTAGAGATTGCGGTAAAATTGAGTAAACTTCTAGGCTTCCACATTCTATTGTTAATCAATAGTAGATGTTTCATTTTTTAATGAAAATATTTGCATATATTGATGATGCATCTTTAATACTTCTTAAATTTGGTAGTGTTTTGTTCTTCTCGTTATAGATTTTGTATGTAGGTTTGTCTGTTTTCGTTACTCCCATTGTAATATGAATTGACTGAAACCAAAAGACAAATAATTTGAACGACAACCGGTGAGCTATATTCTCTGAGTGACAAACCATGAGTCGTGGCGGTAATTCAAACCGTAATCGTGTTCGCGTGCCGGGCGAACATTTAATAGCATTAGGGGTCCGAAACACTACTCGTGAAACATCGAACACCATTATTACATCCACAACAAACAATAATGTTATGAGTCAAAATTCATCCTTACCCAATAATTCTACCGCTATTACAACAAGTAATATTCTAGAAACAGTAACAACAACAGCAGTTACGACTACACCTACATCATCCGCAGCCAATATCCGTCCATTTCGTCCAGCTGTTCTACCAACAACAAATCGGTATAGTGCAATTGACAGTATATCCGATCAAGATCAGATTATTTTATTATCTTCAAATGTCAATATTAGCAATAACAACAATAATAATAATAACAACGATTATTTTTCGTTCGATACTGAACAGTTTCGCGTTAATTTAAAAACAGAGTTAAGTAATAATAATGCTAAAGGTATCGAACAACTAATATTAACTGGAACTAATTATCTAATGTCAACCCCGAAACGTCAATTACAAGATCTAAATATATTAATTATTCTTAGTTGGTTATCTGCAAGACAATCGAGTATATTTATCGTGCCATCAGTTACAAAAGCGTTATGTAATTTGCTAAAATCACAAGTATTCAATAAAATTATAAAATCAATCACAGCACAAACACCATCGATATTGTCCAATCAAATAGTGAACCCATATGTGTTTATTTCACAAATACTTTGGCTTGCCTATCAGGTAATTCAGTGGCGTATCAAATACTAGACCAGAAGATTATTACTCTTCTACGCGCGAAAAAAATTCCATTTTAGGTGTGTGAGAAATTTCTTAGATATGCCAATGGATAGTTTTACAAGATCTGAATCCATCTAAAAAAATGTAGAATATTTTCTTTTCTGAAGTGACCCATGTTCTTTTTTGCATTTTTAAGAACCAGTCAATATGGCCAGAAGAATTTATTGAAGCCTACGTTGAAGATGCGTTAAATGAACATAACTGGATTGATGATGTTAACTGTAGTCAATTTGTTTCAAACATATTAACTGCATTTGATACTCGACCCCGAACTTGGAAAATTGATTCGTCTAATCAATCAAAATCTACATCATCGATAGTTAACAACAGTGCAGTAATTGATGAAACAAGCAATGACAGTGCTTCAGGACCAAGTGGAGAAATAATACCCTTATCTGAATCTGATATGTCAATTGACGATACAGCATCCACATCTCCTACAGCAAATTTAACTTCACCCCGTTATCTCGGTCGTCAAGATTCTATTCAATTGTTGCTTATATCAATGATATCTAAAGCAAAGAGTAGTAGTACAACGACGACAAGCGGAAGTCAACCACACGAAACAGATAAACTTTTAAAATTACTCGAATTATCGTGTGGTCTACCTGAAATCCGAACATTAGTTCTTCAACGTCTCGATGTATGGTTGCAAAATCCAAAATTATTTCGTTCGGCTGAACGTTTATTGATAGCACTATGTGAAAATATAACTGGACGAAACGATCTGACAAATGGTCATGACAGTGGCGAGCAAGAAGATGAAATTTTACGAAAGACTATGGAACAATTACTCAATTTAAGATTTAAAATACGTGCAACATCGACAACAAAACCATTTTTTTCATGTATCAAAGAAATGTTGCGGATAGAAATAAAATTAATTGATATTTTCATACGTTTGATCGTACAAAATGAACTACAATTACAAGGACAACAAACAACAACAGGAAAAAATCCATCTAATATGTCTCTGTTACAATGTTCATTTCAAGCTAATCAAGAATACTCAATGCAAATATTAGCATACACAATTCAAACAATTATAATAACTCAACCACAATCAATCTCAAAACAACCACATGAACATGAATTATTAAAACAATTACGCATATTTCTGAGAGAACTAATTAGATTTGCTAAAAATGATTTTGATTATTCTCTATTTTGCATGAATTTAATTAGTATGGAGCATTCATTAGACCAACAAGTTCTATTTTGGAAACAACATCAAACATACAATGAACCGCAGGTAAAGTTCGAGAACATCAAACAGACGGTGTCATCTCATGCGTACCTCTAAATATGTATGCGTTATTTATTTAGCTCAACAGTGCAGGATTTTCAGTTGTTTTTAGTCAGCGTGGTGAGATTTTTCTCGCAGACAGTCTTTTCTAGAAAGCCAACGGACAGTGTCAGAACTTAGAGTGAAGAAATTCTTCACCCATCCCCTCGTCTAATCAGAAATCCTGCATCAGTCAGTGTTTTGTAAAAGTCTTTCAGTATCTCCAAAGGAGAAGGAGTTGAAGTTTTATACTCATAAAGCGTTGATTTTGACCTATTTTTTAATCTTCGCCCCTCCCTCGGGTGTACTCATCTCACATTGATAGGTATATTCATCTTAACAGAGTGGTCTATCCCTCTTGAAAGGGTAGTATATTCATCTTAAAAGGCAGCTGCAATTTTCGTTGCTTCTCTATGTTAGTGTACACTTCCCAATACCATCTCTCGACTAATGTAGAGGAGTTTGACCATTCTAGCCCTACAAGAAGCTGCTCTAACAAGGTTTTTGATATCACTCTCACGGATGCGGAGGAAAAATGAATAACTACGTTTCACTTGCTAAAGGCAACAAACAATAGTACTACTGCAATCCAGTTTTATCTCAAAGCCTGAGTCAGAAAATTGCTATTCACTTCAAGTGTTCTCTGAAAGTTCCTCTTAATCGTCCACTGTCATTATTGGCCACCTATCAAAACTCATCTTTCTTTTTCTTCTCGAGAACCGATTGGACATTAGGGAGATATTGTGCAGTCCATCACCGCATCTTCTACACAAATTTACAATTCTAACCAAACTCATTTTCTCCAAATTTTCGTTTTTTGAAGACCTAACAGCTTTTCGCTGAAGATTAAATGAATCGCTCATTCAAGTCCAATATTCCCCGTAAAAGGCGTATAAAGCAGCTGAGCCTTGACATAAACAATAGAAAAATCTGATGTGACAGAGGACTGACACCTAATTCTTATAGAGTAAATTACTTGTAAATGCGAATAAGAAGCTTTTGAATCTATTTTCTATCTTATCTTCAGACAGTGATTTTGAAATAATATGAATACAGAGACTTAAATTATTAAATATTCTTAATTTATCTATTTCAGGACACTTCTCCGTCGTCATCTCAACGTCTTTTAAAACGTTTACTTGATTATGATGTCGGTATTCGTGAGCGTTTTTTTTTCTACGTCTGCGATTTAATATCAATGATCATTTTGGTCGCAGCTGTTCCACTATTGCCATCCACTTCCTCATCTATCTCATCATCGATATCACGTCTAGTTCCAAATCCGTTGACGTACGATCAATGGCTTTTGTATATTCAACGTGCATCATATATTCAATTTTGTTGTTGTAAATTTTTTCTCTATATTATACCAAAATTATTTGATTATTCGAATTTATCTCAACGTTATGGAAGTGATTATGTTAGTTGTTTATATAAAATTTTATTTACGGATAATAGTGAAGCTTACTTACGTTCTGATAATTGGCCGCCCATTGAACAACGTGGCGATTTATTTCGTTTATCATCTGAAATACCGCAATTAGGTGAAACATTAGTTTTACTAGTTCATATTGGTCTCTCACCTCAAACACCAATGAGTTCTCATTCAACAATCGAATTAATTGAACTAATATTACGTCGAACTCTAAGTGCTGAACAAAAAATCATTGATCAACAGCAACAACAATATTTACGCGTACCACAAGAAATAATACCAAATTTAATATTGAAATTGTTTGAATTAAGTCGTTATACGTATCCACAACAAATTATCGTACCACAGACATATCAACCGCCGAATTTAGCAGTAACTGCTATCTACTGGAAATGTTGTCTCATATGTTTGCTATTAGCATCACATGATACACGAATCTTTGGAAAATATATTTGGGAAAATATGGCACAAGTCAAAATATTCATGGAAATGTTGTTAACAGGTGATGAGAGACTGGACTTTTTAGAAGATTTTTCTTAAACTATTTGTGTTTTAGGTGATTATAATTACCCACCACAATCATGGTTATCATCATTACCAAATCCAAGTCAGGATAAATTTTATATGAATGAATTGATTATGTTACGAACTGAAGAAGATTTAATATTAGAATTAGAACAATTTCTTGCTTCACGACAAACAATAACACGAACAAATTCTGAATTATTAGGTAAAGTTTGTCTTCTCGATAAACAAACACAGCCAAAACGTCCATTCCATCATTACACTGTTGATAAACTACAACAACAACAACCGAGTCAAGGTGAAAAACAATTTTATGAAAAATTACAAGCATTAAACAGTACATTTAAATTATCATCAATGTTATGTCGTTGTCGTTCACCCGATTATATATTAGATATACTAAATAGAAAACAACAACAAGAAAAGACGACAACATCATGGTTAGCTGGCTTAATTGATTCAAATATTGATTGTTTAAATATATTTCCGATTATATGTCTCTGTGATTATTTTCAACATATTATTATGACGTATAAGACAACAAAAACAAATGGAGAATTACCACAACGAAAAACCTTAAATGCACTAGAAACAATAATTCAACGGTTTCATACAATAATTAAAAATATTAAACAACAGCATGAACAAGTAGTAAGCTCATCAAATGTAAATATAAATTATTTCTTTTCTTCGAATTTTCTGAAGAGCCATCCATGTGCTAAACAACGCTTCAACACACCTTTCTATTCTTAGAGTGTATCATAGACTTTGATGACTGTTTTTTTTATATTTCCATCTGCTAATATCGATCGTTGCTGCAGAATGTGTGAATATTTACTTCCATGTAATGTTTTTCTGTCAAGCTGGTTTAGTCAATCTTTATTTTATTTATTTTTTAGACGAATGTGGGTGATAAACTATTGGATGATCCGGTATTAAATGATGTTGTATGTATATTTGATTATTTTTTTAAATGTTTAAATTCCAAATCATCCGTTATACGTTTAAATGCTTGGCAATGTTTACATATGATTGTTGACGACACCACTATTGATACAACATCAACGTTACCATTTTCGTTTTCGTCATTAATTTTGTCAAGCGATCATCTTAACATTGAAAATTTTTTATCAACAATAAAAACATTTAGATATTTTCAAACACATTTATCACCATTAATAAAACGTTCACTTGTGAATGCTTGTCATTTGGAAACAAATCCTATCCACTTACATCACTATACATTATTTATTATTGAAAATTATCGTCTAGATAACTATGATTTATTATGTGATTTATCGCTCGCATTTATTAAACGACACAACGTATTATTATCATTATTAGAACTGGATAAAGAAAAAAAATATCAATTAACGATCGCACTATTTGAATTTTTTTCAATGCATCTATTAAAAATGTTTCAACAACTAATATTAGATGGTCCACTAAAATTAGACGAAGAGGAAACAATATCCACTACAACAACAACGTTATCATCGTCATCCAAATGGTATTTCTCATTACCCGTTGAATCTAAATCGGTTTTAAATGATATTTATTTAAATTTAAAAAAGATATATTCGGATCATGATTTTCTGCTAAATATTTTAGAATTTAATGATACACCACCAAAATTTTATCATATTAGCATAGAACCACATATTGTTGAATTTTTAATCATTTTCTTATCTAATTTTGATTTTAATAATAAAAATGAGGATGATATACAAACCGCTCAACCATTAAAACAATTATTTTTTCCCACAATATCGTCAACACCATTACCATGTTTTACATCTATTAAACAAGAACAAGAGAAACAACAAAAGGTAAATATACAAACAAAGCATCTCTTCATTGTTTATCAATTAAATTAGAGAAGAAGGAGGAAAAAAATCTTGAATAAATAAACAGTTTCTCAATAACTACATCTTGTATACATCGTTGTTTTCCTTATGTTGATCTGATGATTCTAACCGTATGATCTCTGTTTTAGGCTGTAGCAACCACAACGACAGATGAAAGTCATTTTTATCAATTTTCAATAAATGACAATGATGGTCTCATAGATATGCGAACAACATCAGAACCTACTCGTAAACGTCTTCATTCATCATCTCCTACTCGTTCATCAAAACATTTGGCTACATCATCAATCGTTCACAATACAATTGAATGTCAACGAAATATATTTACATCAGACGATGTTCAACATTTTATATATAAATCCAAAAATAGCGAATTTGTTAAAATATTTGTACAACATGCCAATCTTACCATGTGTTTAAAATTAATCAAAACATTTAATGTACCTTATGTGAACATCTGTTATGTATGTTCAAGATTAGATATTTTACTAAACGAATCAAACTTATCGTTAAAAGAATTGAATCATTTAATCAAGCAATCACCGTTTTTACTTCCAATTGTTAATGCTTGGATTAATGAACAAATAGAAGAGGCCATACAACTTGGTCAAACATTGACAAAAATAATTGAAAAAAAGAAACTAAAGTAAGTATTTATGTCATTATTAATGACTGATTAAAAATGATTCAAATTTAAGAGAACACAAAATATATCATCTATAATGATGTATCATCATAGACAATATAGTTAGCATTTATTATTTTGAGAAGAGTTTTAAGAGCAGAAAACAATATGAAATGAAAAAAACTCAGTAGTCTGAAATTGATCGCAACAAGTATTCTACATAAGTCACCGCATCACATATACTTTCTTTTTTTTTTGGTGCGTATAAGTTTTATAGATAATATCGGTGACATTCGTACATCGATTACCGATTCAAAACAGATATTCATTATTTCTTATTAAAAATTTAATCTGTTAAATTTTGTTAAATTGTTCTTTATTTTTAGTCATCCATCTATAACAAATACCCGTAGTGAACCATTAACAAATATAAGTCAATCATTAACATCAACAATCTCAAAATCTTTGCCTATTATTACCTCTGTTCAACAACCGTTCATCTCCACCACTAGTTTATCATCATCTATTAATCATTATTTAAGTACATATAATCGTCGTATCAATGATTTATGCAATCATATTTCAATTGTTGAACAAGAAACGACAACTACATCATCTGATGAATTAACATTAACAAATAAATTAACTAATACAATTCAACCATGGAAAGATAAAAATGAATGTGAAGATTATTTAAAACGATTATTTGATAAAAAATTAGATCGTTCAAAACGTCGACGTTTATTAACAGAAATACAATGGATAACAAATTTAAATGAACAATATCGTTTACAATTAATACAAGCAATGATAAATCGTTGTAAATCAAATGATGTTAAAAGATTTGTAAATGGTCTCAATGAGTATACATCATGTTCATTAGCACTTTTGGCAATTGCATTTAAACCAACAACAAATGATCAACAAATTAATGATGAATGTTTAAAATTATTAACAACTCTAAAACATTATGAAACACAAGGTAAAAGTGCTTTTGGACTAAGATTACGAACAATTAAACGTCCAGGTGATCAAACAAATATCATAACACCACTATTGAATGTCAAACGTAATTTAACAGTAACAACAACGACAACAACAACAACAGCAACGACGAGTATTCCATCAACAAACATTAATCAACAACAATCTGATGCACTCAGTATTCTATGTGATTATTACCCAGTAAGAGACTACAGAATAGAGAAAAATTTTGAACATTATATTCACACAACATTTCCATCAAATAGACAAGATGATTGCAAACGTCTGTTAATAAATTTATTATGTGAATCTGAAGATAAACTATCCGAATCAACGATTGGCATGTTATTGGATCATTTATCAAACATGGAGAATTTACCATTAAGGTAAAAATAATATACGTTTTGTATTATATTACTTTTTTATCATCCTACTTTTAGAGTGAGTGAGACAGAGAAGAGTAAATAAAAACATTTTTTTTCCTTTTGTTTTAGTTCACCTATGATGAATTATTCATTGCAACAACAGTCAATCTATGCTTCACGTTCTTTATTTTCTCAACATTCTCGTACATCAATATCTCAACGATTATTGTTAAAACAATTTTTACATTCTTGTGATTGGACTACAATCGTTGATTGTATCTATGATTTACTAACATTACATTCGTCACCATCTCAACAGTCACAACTACAAACACCAAATACACCAACTCATCTCGGTGGTACCAGTCTCGTAAATCCTTATCGTTCATCACCCAATACTCAAATTGATTCTCCAACTCATTATCGTTTAACTCCAACTCAACCGATAGTTTCAAGTCGTTGTTCATTATTAGAATGTCGTGATTCCGTTTTAATATTAGATATGTTGCAATCTTATCTAAAATTACCACAATTATGGGTTGGTAGAGAATCAAAAATGTTAGAACGTTGTAATGATGAACCGTTAGTTGAACTAAAAGAAAATCATATTTATACACTAATTCTATACATATTGGATGAAGCCTATCGATTAAATGTATCAAAAAGCGGAAATATTCGAGATCAATATGTCTATCGTTACGCACTATTATGTTCATTGATTAAATCAAAACAAAAATATTTATTAAAAAAATGTTTAAATCAAATTTTAGTCGATTCACAATTACAAACATGGACAAAAGATATTCTACCATCATTTTATTATACATTATATTTATACGAACCAAATCTATTTGATAATGGTTTTTATTTAACTATACAAAATTTGTTTGGTGAAACAAAACAGCAGAGGTACGGAAATTATAAATATCAATTTTTTTCAATTATTAAATTCTTTGATCTATACGTCTATACGAAAATAAATTTTATATCATAAAGTTTATCAGTTGTCGATTTCAACATTAAATAACCTACATAGATTAAATTTTAGACATTCAAGTCAATCAATATGCAAGAATACTGTAACATAGTCACATTTTAGTTCTAACTTTTGTTATGTGGAGTAGGCGTCATTATCGAATAACCGAGAAATTATGACTTTTTTTTATTCGTTAGCGCTTATCGACTAAAAATTTATGGTTAAGTTTACTATCTCGATGAATTGATGTTGACAAATCCATCGAAAAGAGTCATTGAAACCTAATCGATATAAGTCGACTAATGTAAGAACTTGATTGAATTTGAATGAGCGATTCATTTAACCTCCAGCGAAAAGCTGTTAGACCTTCAAAAAACGAAAATTTGGAGAAAATGATGAGTTTAAAGTAAAGTTGAAGTTTTCTCAGTGGAACATTTGAGTTTGGTTAGAATTGTAAATTTGTGTAGAAGATGCGGTGATGGACTGCACAATATCTTCCTAATGTCCAATCAGTTCTCGAGAAGAAAAAGAAAGTTGAGTGTTGATAGGCAATAATGACAGTGAACTGTATAATATCTACGAAGAAAACCTAAGAAAGAAAGTATCTCTTTATTTATGCATCATCCGATCTATTGACATTTTCTGGATGTATTTCATTTTCAAACCTTTAAGTTTAGTGATAGGAAAAGACAAGTTGATAGTTGAACTATGATTAGGGGAAAATCTTAATATACAAATTTAACATGTAATACTTCTTTATGTTTAGTTTACTTGGTGGAAATTCTAGTACTCAACATCAGTTATGTAATGAATGCCATTATGATTTGATTATTCATGATTTATTAGTTCGTTTAAATAGTTTTGATCTATTAACAGCTTCTTCATCATCAACTGCAACATTTGAAACAAATTTATTACTACGACAAATTGCATCTGCTCATCCATTTATTGTTATTCGTCATTTAAATGTCATTACATCTTGTATTCAATCACGTTCAGCAACATTAAGGATTAATGAATATAAAAAACGTGATTCAAAATATCGTAGCTATTTTTTGTCTATATTTGATTTAATTGAACGTTTACAACCTTATATATTTGATCAAACATATTCACAACAATTACAAACTATCGTTGATATTTATATTAAAATTTGTATACCACAATTGTCATCGTTATTATCATCGAATTTATCTACGGCCGTTTTATCATCAAATTATCTATCCGATTTGATTTATCTAATTGATCATTTATTAAATTTTATTTATACTTACTTAACATTAACAAAAAATAATCATCAATTATTACGAAATTATCATTCAAAATTTTTTGAAAAATTAAAAGATAAAATACAACAAAATAACGAACTATTGAATGTTTTAACATCAAATCAAAATAATTCAATTATGAAAAATTTATCAAAATTAAAAATATTAAATGATTCACTTGATCAAAACGAAGATACTATGGGTAAGACTGTGAGGACTTTATTCAATAAGATAGAAATTTTATATTCTCAAACCAAAAATATACTATCTCTCCTTTCTCAACGGAAAATTAAAGACGCTTTACTTGATAAATAGAAAAAAACAATATTTGTCGTTAATTGAGTAAGTTTCTGAATAAAATACACACTGTTTTATCGTACTTTTCAATATCACATATCTATCTTTTATCTAAGTTAGATTTGTAACAAAAAAAGTCATAAAAATTGAAAATAGCGTCTAGGATCTACGAAGAGTACAAAACAAATCTTTTAGACTACAATTATCTCTCGAAAAAGGATAAAAAGAGTGAAGTTTGTTGCCAGTGATATCTTTCGTTTGTATCGATTGACGACAATAGAAAGTAGTATATAATTGTCTTTCAAGTTTCAAGTTCAAATCATGCAGGAAAACTGTCTTAATCAAGATAGATATTGTTTAAAGATACCTCACCTTTGAGACTCTTGATAAAATTTGTACTACTTCTAAAGTAAAAGTGATTGACTCTTTTTGTTTCACAGTTTATGTAAACGTCTTTTGTACATCATTTAAGACTACTCCGATCTCTGTAATTGTTAGTGTTTCAGAAATTTTCGAAAATTTTGATGTTAACCTGTCCACTTTATGACCTCTTGAAAATTTCATCCGATCAGCCTCAAATTGTGTCATAGATGACCATAACTAAGATCTTTTTGTTGGTGTTGTTTTTGAAAAATATTACTTCGTTCAAAAGTTATAACAAAAACCTTTAAAAGACATAGAATTTTGAGTTTCGAAACTCTATCACTTAACGTCAAAACATTTTTTTCTAAAAATCAAAAAAAATCACTCTGTGTTATAGTCACGGCGCAAAACTCACGTTTTTTGAGAGATTTCAGCCAAAATGATCAGAACTCAATTAGAAAACGTGATGTAGAATTGAATGACATCGCGTTTTGTACAAACCTCTTTACTCTGCAAGAATGACTATTTGAAATAATTTTCGAGCACCAAAATGAAGAAAAAGATCTCAACTATTGAAAAACAGTTAGTTTTTAAAAGTCAAGTAAAAAACTTTAAAAAATTCGTATCTTCCAAATGAACGATCATAGAGAGTAAGGTATGATTTTATTTTGTAGAGGACAACATGTCATATCATGCTTAACTGATGCAGAGAGTGTATTCTTAAAGTGTCTTTCAACAGAGAAAATGACGGAAATTTTTTTTTAATATTCATTCTCTTTGATCAAAATTCCATTAAAAATGTTTAAGAATTCTTATAGGTTAATTTAATTTCATTTTGTAGACAGTACATCAATTCTTCGTCATACGTACGTTAGATATCTCATGATCTCAATTGATATTGTTTAACAGAACAAAATCGAGAAAACATCCTCTTCATAGACACTAAATTGACTTTCAAATTACATTGGTTTCAGTCTCAATTGACATTCATTTTTTTCCTTTTAGCTCTAGATAATCAGCAGTTAAATCAACAGCGAACAACGTTTGATGTTCGTTTGTGTCTAATCGATCGAAATAACGATGAACAACAACCACATCATCAAATGATATCTGGCAAAAAATTATCATTAAATCAACAAAAATATGATGATGTTCAACGATTTGTTTCAAAATTAAATGATTCAAATTCCATTGATATTGAAGAAATATTATCAATTCTATATGATTTAAAACAAACAATTGATCGTTATTCATCTGTTGATATTTTAGATTATTTTGTTGAATGTTTAACTAATCTAATTCAACATGAAAATAAACAAATTCGAGAATATGCATATGAATTTATTTTAAAATATTTACAAAAATATCCTCAACGTTCACAGTTATTTTCAACATCGTATATAAAATGTTTAACACATACCGATAATGTAAACATATTTCAAACGGCAATTGAACATTTTCAAAATTTAATTATCTATTATCGAAAAGAGTCAAATGATCTTTTACATTTGATATTAAAATATGGTCTAATTAATAAAATTGATGTTACATTAAATATAACACAAGCCATTCGATTATTAAATTTATATAAATATGATCAACTATCGTTGAATATTAGTGGAGGATCAATGTTGGTACCAACACAAAATCCATTACTTTATCAAACGACTAATACGATTAGTACAAATATTATTTCGGAATAGTAGCATGTTTACCTTCTTCCTACTGTCTTTCGATCATTCATTTCTAAATTCTAAATCACAAAATATGTCTGTCTATGTGTGCTTATTATTTATAATTATATTTTGTTTGTTTTTCATTGTTTTTTTTTTGTTGGTTTATTTATTTTATCTATTTGTACATCAGTGTACGTGTGTTTGTGTACATAGAGAGTATAGAAAAAAGACGAAAAAAAAAAGCAAATTTTCAGATGAAAATATAATTTGAATCTGTCGTACATTTTCGTTTTTGTTTTGATTTATAAACAAAAAAAAAATGTTTTTATTGGCAAATCAAGTTTTTTGAAGTACAACGTAGAGATATTTCACTATAAAAAATAATGATCATGTTTGATGTACAATTAGGATTGATCTGTTGAAACTCATTAATAGTACTTTGATCAGTCCTGTAATTTCTATTACATTGTCAGATAGAAACCACAGTAAAGGAATCATATTCGAAATGTTCTACGCTGTTTACTAGTGACACACCTTTAGAACGGAGAGACTGAAGTGCCATTCTTATTGGTTAAAAAGAACGAATGAATGTAATTGGTTTTTTGTTATATATTCCGGAGGAAAAAAAAGAAAGAAGCATAATTTATAAAAATATACGAGTCGATTGAAATATGGAGACATATGGTCTAATGTGCATGATTCGAAATGAGTCATCCATGTTCAGACGATTGTTTATAAATTTTTGCGTCAGTTTTGCTAATATCAGATAATCTTTTCATTTGAGATTCTATTCTATTTCTAAGTCTTCTTCCCATGATTTTTCATTAGTATTTACTTAAGAAGAGTGTACTCAGTATTTTTCTCTCTTCTATTACATCGTTCGCAGAGAGTAAAGGAGTGTCATATTTAACCTAAGACTTTTCGTATAACTGACGCACCGTTCCTATTTCTTAAGTTATAACTGTCCTTAACTAAAGCTCTTTCTGCTGTATTATATAGATATTTATTATTTCTAGATGACTACAGTACCTCCGACAACTACTTCTGGTAATAACAGTAATCCAAAGGCTGATAGTAAAGCTATTTTTACAGATGCTGAGGTAAAGTAGCTTTTATCATTTGTCTAATGAATCATTTGTTTTTTCTGTCTTTTGTTTCTCGTGTAGGATGCGTTTCAAGGTTTAGATGTATCTCGTTTATCTCCAGAAGATATTATATCTCGGACACGTTTACTCGACAATGAAGTTAAAGTTCGTATGCCTTTATTTTCCATCTTATTCTTACTACACAGCCTATTTTCATTTTGTTTTTTATTAGATAATGAAAAATGACATTGTACGTATTTCACATGAGTCACAATCAATGCGTGATAAAATTAAAGATAATAAAGAGAAAATAAAAGTGAACAAAACGTTACCATATCTTGTGTCTAATGTTATTGAAGTAAATTCTTTAAAATTCTTTATTTCATTCTTTATTCATACTGCATTATTTTTAGCTTTTCGATTTGGATCCGCAAGGCGAGGAAGATGAAGGAGCAAACATTGATTTAGATGCTCAACGAAGAGGAAAATGTGCTGTTATTAAAACATCAACAAGACAGGTGACTGAGTACTATCTTTTATTTGTAACAGATTTAGATCGATTATATTTCTTATTTTAGACATATTTTTTACCTGTCATTGGTTTAGTTGATGCTGAAGAAATGAAACCAGCTGATTTAGTGGTAATTATTTTTGTTTTGCGTCTGTGACATTGTTTTAGTTTAATTATGATTATTTTTCTCTGTTTAGGGTGTCAACAAAGATTCTTATTTAGTATTAGAAAAATTGCCAGTGGAATATGATTCACGTGTCAAAGCAATGGAAGTTGATGAACGTCCCACTGAACAATATGGGGATATTGGAGGATTAGATAAACAAATACAAGAATTAATTGAAGCTGTTGTATTGCCGATGACACATAAAGACCGATTCGAAGCATTAGGTGTACAACCACCAAAAGGTATTTTCATTATATGGTGTATTAAAATAGTAGTGTTGATTTTTTTTCCTTTTTCTCTTTAAAGGTGTTTTATTATATGGTCCTCCAGGAACAGGAAAAACACTTTTGGCACGTGCATGTGCTGCTCAAACAAAATCAGCATTTCTGAAATTAGCCGGACCACAACTTGTTCAAATGTTTATTGGTATATAGTATTCGTCTATTAAACTTCTAGATTATTTTATATATCTTCCATTTTCATCTATATAGGTGATGGTGCAAAACTAGTACGTGATGCATTTGCATTAGCAAAAGAAAAAGCTCCCGCAATTATATTTATTGATGAATTAGATGCTATTGGTACAAAGCGTTTTGATAGTGAAAAAGCTGGTGATCGTGAAGTACAACGTACAATGTTAGAACTGTTGAATCAATTGGATGGTTTTCAACCAAATCATGATATCAAGTACGTACAAGAAAGCGTCATGACTTATCTGTCAGGTTTTAGCTCTACTCTCATTAGAAGACTAGCTAAAAAACCAATAGATTCTGATATTCCTCATTTTCTTGTTTTTAAAATGAACAGTGTGCTTGTTAACATTTTTCTTGTTTTTTCTTTAGAGTTATAGCAGCTACTAATCGTGTCGATATCTTGGATCCAGCATTATTACGTTCAGGACGTCTAGATCGAAAAATAGAATTTCCGCATCCAAATGAAACAGTAAAAATAAAAAATAGCTCTTCGTTTATCTCTTTATTGTTATCATTTTTCTACTTTTAGGCACGTGCACGTATTATGCAAATACATAGTAGGAAAATGAATACAAATAAAGATGTAAATTTTGAAGAATTAGCACGTTGTACAGATGATTTTAATGGAGCACAATGTAAAGCCGTGTGTATCGAAGCTGTACGTTAATGATCGTTCTCTTTGTAGTTAAACATTTTTTTGATGCGATATGTTTCCACTTTAGGGTATGATTGCTCTTCGTCGAAATGCTGTTGAAGTAATACATGAAGATTTTATGGACGCTATATTGGAAGTTCAAGCGAAGAAGAAGATGAATTTAAATTATTATGCTTAATTCAAACACTAGACGAAATTAAAATCATCTTTTTATTCTAACTGTTTTTTGTTGGTCTTTTGTCTATTCTGTTTGTTTTGCTTGTGTTTTTTGTAGACATTTTTAATTAAACATGAGCTTATTCTGAGCGCGAAAATTTTCCGGTTCGTTAAGCTTTGATATCGATAATAGGTACAATAAGTAAATGATATTGGTTGAAAATGATTCGAGCTGTTAAGAGTCATTCTCTGTAAGAATCATCCGATCACAAGCGGGGATAGAAAGTTGTTGAACTCAGAAATCGACGAAACTATCAGATATATGGTAACTAGGTACTCTTGGAACTAGGTAACTCGTGGAATTTTCAGTCCTGGGCTGTTTTTCGGTGAAAGGATTTCGAAAAACTCAAAATCCAATCAAAACTTTCCAAATTCTTTTGAATAAGCAGTTCTGTAGAGCCCGTCAAGCTGATCATTTATGCATAAAAACCTTTGATAAAAAGTACGAAAAGTACTTAGACTATAATGACCATTTCCTATGCAAAATTTTGTTGAATAGTCGCTGCTGTCTGTGTTCATTTTAGCCAGATTCTCTATAAACCAGCTCCACAGTATGACTGAGTGATTTGTGAATAGTTTGTGTTCCATTGTTGGAAAAATCCCGAAATACAGTCAAATAGGAGATTCTTCCAGACCGAAATTCCGGCATGCAGCAAAGCTCTGTAAAAAAATCTGAAATAGTCATTTTGCAGCCCAGACTTTGCTCCATCACATTATGTCGAGAACTTTTGATGACCGCTGAAAAAATGAGAAAAATCATCGACGAAGGAGATTACAAAAAAATTACTTGTAATTTTGAACCATATTGATCTGCGACAAGGCACTCAGTCAAATCCTATTATCTTAGGCACAGAATATCGTGGAGAGCTGCAGAACGTACTGTTTTACTCAGAATTCTCAGCATTACCTTCCAGCATTGTCAAAATCGGCAGTCTCGTACGACAACAGTCCTGATATCTCGGCGACCAACGAGCGTGAAGAGCTGCGCAACGGCTCATCTTATTCAAAATTGACCAGGCTATCGAATGGCAGGTTCAAGGAATTTTGACTGATAGTCAATCCTTTCCGGGGAGGGGGGGGAGGATTTTCCCAGTTGTCGTTGAAGGCATTCCAAATGTAAATAAAATACAAATTGTTAGGTTCCCGGATGAACTAAGATCTTTCTCACCTAACGTTTATTTACAGATAAAAAAGATCTCCCTGAATAATAAAATTGATCTATTTATATAGGAAATATTGCGCGATAGTCTTGAGTAGACTCTGCGCAATAATCTTGGCTAAGCTCTGCGCAATAACCTTGAATATATTCTTGCACCATAGATCGAATAAATTGTTGACGTTGTTGTTTTATTTCATGGTAAAACCATACCCCACCATCTGCAGGCCATAATTTCTTCCCTGTCAAAAACTGGGAGTTGTTCTTCAAATGATGAATTTTTTTTCTTTTTCAATGTTTTTTCCGTGTTAGGTTGTATTCATTTCGTGTAATTTTCTATAAATCGCTGTGATTTATTTTGAAGATAACAGCCAAAATCACGCATGTGTTGACCATGGAAATAATGTTTTCTCACTGTTGCTCGCGTTACTACTGATGTTATGGATTGGGAATTTGTTTTTGAGAATCCTTCTTCTTCATCTTCTTCACCTGCTTCATAGAAGTATATCGACTATCAAATGGATCAACATATAATTCATCTAAATCGGTATCACAATACGATTCTGATCTATCTTCCGATTGTTGATCATTTAAATATTCCGACAGTATTATTAATTTGTTGTTGTTCATAATGAATGCTGGATTAATTTTCATTGACTTTATACGTTTCAAACATGCTAGTTTATCATGATCCATATCATCATCTCCTAAACCTTGAAATGGCATTTGAAATATGGCACTAGATTGAACATATAACTCAGTTTGATCATAATCTAATTTCACCAAACAACGTTGTGGTTCAGGACTAAATTGTATTTCTAATATTGTTCATAGCAAATGCTTGTAAAAAGTGGATCCCAGGAATGATTGTACATTTTTGATCATAAACCATCACTATTTGATAAATGTGAAATTGTCCATCCCAAACGCCTGTAAACGAGTTAAGATTGTGTTGCTGTTTAGTGTTGTGTCGGTTCTAAAGCTAAAGGGGCTGCCACTCATCATCTGTATAACGTGCTTGTGTGTTTGACTGATGTTTGAATTTTTGTTGATAATAACGTTGTCTCATTTTGATTTGTTTGGATTCGATTATACCTACTGGGATGTTGATTGCTTGTACTTACTGTGATGTTGGATTGACAGTAAGCCGGCTAGTGCACCAATGTTAGGTTCCCGGATGAACTAAGATCTTTCTCACCTAACGTTTATTTACAAATAAAAAAGATCTCCCTGAACAATAAAATTGATCGATTTATATAGGAAATATTGCGCGATAGTCTTGAGTAGACTCTGCGCAATAACCTTGGCTAGGCTCTGCGCAATAACTTTGAATATATTCTTGCGCAATAACTTAGCCTATATGCTTGCGCAATAACCTTGAGCATGATCTTCTGCCGTATGGCACGACTCTAGTACATGACATAACACAAATAAATAAAATCTTGAAAAATAAAATGCCTGACGCAAAAATCGACAATATATTCAAAAATAAACATAATTTATTTACTATTCAACCGTCAGATATACAATTTTTCAGTTGATGACAGTTGATGAAATTAAGCATGCATTAACAATAAATAGTTTTAAATTTGACAGTACTGAACTTACTCTGAACTTACTGGAGAACAACATATGGTAACATCAAAACAATGTAAAGAATATTTAAAAAATAAAGAGAAAATTAAAAAAAACAATTGAAGAATATACAACACCAATAAAACAAAAATAAAATATGAATGGTGATAATTTTCCTTATTTACAATCCAATTATTGGACAGCTATCAAACAGCAATGTGGAAATCTTCACAATAGTAATAATAATGAAATGATTAAAGAATTAATAGAAAAAATGTCGTACACAATTGTTCATGCATTGTCATCTGCTATGCAACAGATGACCACATCAATTATTTCGATGGTAATACATCAACTTCAAACTATTTTTGATTATTGCAAAAGACAGACAATAAACGATTTAAACTGATACATAACTCAAGGAAATACACGAATAATGCAAGTATTTGCTTAAACAAAACTATACAAACATGCAATTAAATTACCCCTAACAGTACGATGCCTATCATCGGATAACAATTTAAAAAAAAAGAGAAAAAAAGAGTAAAATATTTGGTACAATCTATTGTCTTTGTACAAAAAATTTTTTAAAGCATAAAACCTCGGTCAACAGTCTATTGTCTGTTTATTATTTTAATAAACTCTCCTCTTCTCAAATACGACGATCTTTGTTTTCTTCAACTTTTCTACAAGGTTGAAGCGAATGAGCATATATGACATTTAGCAGCTTTCTTTCTTTACACAAGTAAAACGAATTAAACGAAACTGAAATGATTTTTATGGATACAAGATACTTATAAAATAAAATATTATCAAAACATTGGAGTGCGAAGAATCTCAACTCATCGTGAGTTGAGATTCACGCCATAAAACCGACATATTACGTTAAACTTTGTTTGAAATTCTTGTCATATTATTTTTTACGGTTCCATCCACTTATCCGAAAAAATCAGGACGTAAAAAAAAAGGGAACAGAATCGTGTCTCACAAATATTTAAGTTAAACTTTAGATTTCTTTTAACTTACCGTAACTCTTTCAGCTCAAGTACGTCTTAAATTCGATGTCTGATATAAGTCTGATACCTATGAAAAAATAATTTTCAAATCTTGTTTTGGATCAGAGTAGGAAAATCGTAAAATCGGATGACATTAAAAGTCTTAAATGACCCAAGCAAAATTGCATTACCTATGAACAGCTGATAATGTTGAACTTGCGTAGATCAATACAAAACACTTCAGACTATTGAATCATATTGAAAAGGCGAACAAAATTTATAGCAACATATAATACACATAGATTTTTCAATTTTTTTTTATTGCTTCTGTTAACTATTAATAAACATAACAGTAGTTAGTAAGACAAAGCTTCTGAAAAAATTTTGAGAAAACGGTATATTAGCATCGTTTCTTGATTCAATCAATTCTTCTTGCTCAACATTTACTTGATGCCAAGTCAAGTACCACCTCCAGTTTTTAAACTTACGCTTTAACTTAAAAGAGTTATAGATTTTCTCTGCGAAGATTTACCTTCTTCTCCTTGACGAGAATGATTACTCAGGAAAAATACGCAGAATGTTTTTCAATGTTTTCCTCTCTATTCATCTGACACATGGTTGTAATGAAAGTATGCGGAATAAATGAATAAAGAGAAAAGTTGTCACACTTGAGTACATTGTGTTTATATTATAATATTTATTATTGTTAATTGTATGTATTAGTAATTTTTAAATACAACGTATATAAAAAATGAATTTTAACTATCCGCGTTTGATACAAGTTCAATATGAAGTACCATTTATACCGACATCGTTTTTTAACGATGATTTTTTCGATGAGCTGTTTAACTTTGAAGAAGTTCAACCAACTGACACAAATGACAATTTATGCATGATGCCACCACAATCATCACACAACATGCCATTTGTGGAACAAAATAATGCAAACCCATTGAACTTAATGCAACAATGGAATCCATTTCTATATCATCAGCATCATATGTTATCACCTTTTCGTTTTACTTTTGGAAATTTTGTACCAAATCAAAATTTAATACCTCATAGTTTTAGTTCCGATAATTTGAGACATCCTAGTCAACGTAATACTGATAACAAAAACAGATTTCGTCCGCCGATACCGCAACGTCAACCGAGATCTAATAATAATAATAATCAACAGAATGAACTCTATGATACTCCAAGATCAGATTTGCTAGTATCAAAACTAACAAGAGATCGTATATGCAAAGATGTTCCTTATCCTATTGTTCATCTTTTATTACCAGAAGAATTATTTTCCAATGGAACGAATGGACCACCTAATATTAGTATACTCGTACATCATTTGAAGAATGAGGGTTTGTAACATTTTTCAGTCTTCTTTCTCTGTTACACTAAGTAAGAAAGAGAGATCATATTATATACTTGTTTTTTTATTCATTTTATACCAGGTCGTTTAGCTGATCCAACATGGCGATTATTATTTTTATTAGTAAAACAACATTTTCAACAGGAACCGAATTTACTAACACTTTCAAATGGTTGTACAATTGTTGCCGATATACATGGTCAGTTTTATGATCTATTAACAATATTTGAATTAGGACGACATCCTCGTGAGCAACAATATTTATTTTTGGGTGATTATGTCGATCGTGGCTCGTTTTCATGTGAATGTATATTTTTATTATTTGCCTTAAAAATACGTTATCCAAAGACATTTTATTTACTGCGTGGTAATCATGAAACAAAACAAATGACTAAAATGTTTACATTTTATAACGAATGTAAAGTAAAGTATTCGGTGGATTTTTGGAATGAATGTATGGCAATATTTGATTGTTTACCATTATGTGCAATTATTGATGAACGTTTTTTTTGTTGTCATGCCGGTTTATCACCGCATATTCGATCTATTAATCAAATCAACAGACTGAATCGATTTCAAGAGACGCCAAGTGACGGACCATTGTGCGATCTGTTATGGTCAGATCCTCATCCACAATTTTCTAATCCAACAACACCGCCTTGGTCATTTAATGATCAACGAAAATGTTCATTCTATTTCAACTATTCTATTTGTTCACAATTTTTATTTGAAAATCGATTATTATCAGTAATTCGTGCTCATGAAGTTGTACCAAATGGTATTGTTTATTTCGAGAAGGGACAGCAGACAGATTTTCCCGTATTAATGACACTGTTTAGTGCTCCAAATTACTGTGATGTCTATCAAAATATAGCATCAATTATTATCTATGATCAAAAACGAAATTTTCAACCAATTCAGTATCGTCATCGGCCACATCCATTCGTCTTACCAAATCATGAATCGGGCTTTGTATTTGGTAATCGTTTTATGTTAACATATGTCAACGAAATATTACTGACAATTCTGCAAAGCAGAGCAAGACAAAAAAGTCAAACATCATCAATGGACGAACAAGATGATGTAACACGACGTTTAGATTTAAAAGAAAAATTATTAACTGATCACACGAAAAAATGTCGAGCAATCAATAATATGAATCTAAAATTAGGTAATATAATCTGGTTTAAATTTTGTTACGAATCCATTAAATTCTTTAAATTTTAGCTAATTTGACACCATCAGAAAATTTAACGAAAAAAGCGATTGTTAATAAGGATGTATTTGAAGAAGTGTTATTGAAGTCAACAACAAATAATATTGATACAAATGAAAATACACAACAGAATGCATTTGAACAAGCATTAAAGATTGATTCATTGTATGAAGAACGTATCGATTTAAACGAACCTGCAAAAGCATGAGACCGACCTTACGAATCGCAAAAAAAATGTTTTTCTTTTAAAAACATTGTACAACGCAATGAACTAAAATATTTTTCCACAGTTTATTCATTTTTGTCTACTGTCTGACATACTGGAAAATTGCACAAGCCTCTGATGATTAACTAGTTGATGCCCAGTGATCAGCTGTTTTATTTCTATGACAACAACAATTATTTTCACAAATTATTTCAGAAAGAGGTCTTCGACGGAATTCATGATAAATTGTATTTTTGCTATGTAGTTTCTATGATACAGGAAAAAAAAAATCATTCTATAATCAATCAGTCAATAAATATGTTTAATCTTATCCATTCGGTCCTTGACCCGTTCCTCCATAACTTGGAGTTTGAGTTGCGTCCGCGCTTCAACCACCACCTGCAGCTTGCACTGTAGCCCCACCTCCAGCTGCTGCTCCACCTCCGGCTGCAGCTTGAGTTACAGCTGCTCCTCCACCTCCAGCTGCTGCTCCACCTCCGGCTGCAGCTTCAGTTACAGCTGCTCCTCCACCTCCAGCTGCTGCTCCACCTCCAGCTGCAGCTTCAGTTACAGCTGCTCCTCCACCTCCAGCTGCTGCTCCACCTCCAGCTGCAGCTTCAGTTACAGCTGCTCCTCCACCTCCAGCTGCTGCTCCACCTCCGGCTGCAGCTTGAGTTACAGCTGCTCCTCCACCTCCACCTGCAGCCTGCGTTGCGGCCGCTGCAGCTTGCGTTGCGGCTGCTGCAGCCTGAGTTTCGGCTGCTGCAGCTTGAGTTGCGGCTGCGCCTCCACCGCCACCTCCACCTGCAGCCTGCGTTGCGGCCGCTGCAGCTTGCGTTGCGGCTGCTGCAGCCTGAGTTGCGGCTGCTGCAGCTTGAGTTGCGGCTCCTCCTCCACCTCCAGCTGCAGCTTGAGTTGTAGCTACAGCTCCACCTCCACCTCCACCTGCAGCTTGAGTTGTAGCTACAGCTCCACCTCCACCTCCACCTGCAGCTTGGGTTGTAGCTACAGCTCCACCTCCACCTCCACCTGCAGCTTGAGTTGTAGCTGCGGCTCCACCGCCACCTGCAGCTTGAGTTGTAGCTGCGGCTCCACCTCCACCTGCAGCTTGAGTTGTAGCTGCGGCTCCACCTCCACCTGCAGCTTGAGTTGTAGCTGCGGCTCCACCTCCACCTGCAGCTTGGGTCGTACCACCTCCGCCACCGCTGCTTTGTGTTGTTGCATTACCGCTGATTACTTCAGTTGTCTGTGGGGTACTGACGATTGGCCCATAATATCCTAAATGCAGACTTAAAATATTAATGGGTAACTTGATCAAGATCGTAGAAAACTTACTATAATGTGCTAAATTACCAACACCGATTCCTACTCCCGTTCCAACAGTCAACACGGCAAGAGTGCCAAGGAAAATGATACCAAACCGTTTGGCAGCTGGATCTCTATGAAAAAATTAAATCTGTTAATTTTTAGTTTACACCAAGGAGAAATTTCTAAGTGATCGAACCCAAGGCTAGTTGCACATGAGAAAGTCAAACGACCTACTATCCATTTTGAAATATAAGGCTGAAAACGCTTTTTTGAATAATGTTAAATAATAATATTAATAATGTTTGATACAACCACGTGTTTCGCTCGTTCATAAAACATGTGGGATAGCGACTGACGAAAACAAGTTCAAACTCCATCCTGAAAGTGATGTACCTCATTACTCTTTAAAGGTAGATTGTTAGTTTAGTTGAATAGTTTATTTTGCTGTTTGGAAGCAATGTGAGATTTGTGGCAATGCTTAATTTTGAGTAAAATTGAGAAAACATAGCGAACACAAGTTCTAGAAAAAATAAGCATTTTGTTACTTCGCACAAAAGCCAATGAAAGTTTACATAATTGACTCAAAATCAATTCACAAGGTAGCTCTAACTTTCACAATGTGAGTAAAATTATGCGATCTACTTAATGCAAGTCGAAAAATTCCAAAAGATCCATCGTTAACGGTGAAACTTTCTAGTAAATTATCTAAAAGGTCAAGATCTCAATTCTCATCATATTCAGCGCATAAAACCGATCACAGATTCAAATTTTTGAGCGATTTGAATTAATGTGTTCAGTCACATTGTGAAAGTTAGAGCTACCTTGTGAATTGATTTTGAGTCAATTATGCAA